ATTGGATCAAAGGTTTAAAATTAAACATGCTTGGGCTTGCAAACATAGGTTTGGTCCACAAATGATTATTTCTCGAATCGGGACCAAATTTAACGCTATGTTAAGCAATCATAAGCGTACTTATATAGAAGTTGCACCTGTTTTGAGGGCGGTAAACAACAATCTATGTACCATATGTTTAGAGAGATGATATATAAATCATCCTCTAATAACATATAGTACAAGTAAGAAAGGGATAAGATGAAGAGGGAGGGGATGCAAGGTATGAAATTAGGGTTTCAAATATCATCAATATCATTCATCCATTTTGGTGGATTTGATTTCTCAACCTATCAACACCCAAGATCCAATAATGTTGATGAATTTTTCACCAAATGAGGTCTAAGTCAGAATCAAATAAAATAATAAAAATAAAATTCAATAAAATAATATTTAAAACACTAATTAAAAGGAAAATAAATGGTAAAAATATACAAGGTATATTAAAACACTAAATAAAAATACTTTAAAAAAAGTCAGAGATCAAATATGATTTAATAAAGGTTGACAAATTTTTTTAGAATTTTTTAAAGTCAGAAAATATTTTTTAAAATAAAAGAAATAGGTAAAACAAACTAAAAATGGTGAAAAATATTAAAATCAAAAATAAAAATAAAACAAGGTTATCAAAAATTGCCAAAAGACCAAAGGAACTTTCCATTGTTTTTTCAGAATTTTAAAATTAAGAAAAATATTTTTTTATCAGTTAAAACAAGTTAATTAAAGTGTAAAATTATAAATAAAAAATATCAAATCATGAAATAAAATTGTGAAAAAATAAAAATTAGAAAGAAAAATCCAAAATATTTTTAAGAATTTTTTCAGATTTTATAAGTTAGAAGTGAATTTTTTATGAATTTTTTAAGTTTAAATCAATTAAAATATAAAATCTGAAAATAAAAATAAAACCAAAAAGAAATAGACCATTGGATCAAAGTCAAAACGCGTTAGTAATAAAATCCAAGGGATCTGGCGCACTATGCATATCATGGTCATTAGTGAATAAACCACTAGATCAAATATTAAATCAGAGTTTGAAAAAAAAACAAGTGGCGTTTTGTCATTGGTTGAGAGGCGACACGGTCATCTTCAACCTCCAACCACGTGAATTGTAAGTTTCTCAAAATGTAAAATTAGGAGCTCAGACATATGACATTCGCTTCGTCTCATCAAGACGAAGAAAACTGTACCCTCGCGAAAAATTTAAATAAGTTGTAGCTCAGTCAATTTGAAGAAAACCAGAAGAAAAAAGTTGAGTAGGGATTTGAAAATTCATGATCAAAACTCAATTCCAATTGAAAACAAATGTTGTGACTAGTATCAGAATGATGAGAGCTTCATTACGGTAATAAATTTTGAGAGAATCGATGAAGGAATCAACCTATTGAAGTTTAAATTCAGAGCTCTGAAACATGACTTGGCTAGTACGATTTAGGGTGCTTCATAGCTTAGTTCTTCTTCTGTTAGCTTATGTTAGACTCATGGATTAAGGAAGGATGTAAAACAAAATTCGAAGTTGTAGAAATATGGGTTAAGGAAAGAGTTGTGCAGGGTGATTCTGGTTGTCTAAGCTTGAGAAAATGAATGGAAGATAACCCTTTATTTATAGGGAAGCAAAAGGGATGCTCAAGCGTGTGGGATAATGAAGTTTGGAGGGAAATCGTGTGAAGTTTCAAACATGAAAAGTATGGCTTCTATTTTGCTCAAAACTCAAACAAAACTTGTGTTTCAAGGTGCTAATCACTTCTGGAAGATGGTTAAACATGATTAGAAGTAAAAACGCATAGAAATTAGGTGATTAGAGCTGGATTATAGATTTCAAATTCTGACTTTGGAGGAAACTTCAGTTTCAAGGTATCAATTTTGAATCCATGGCATTTAAAACTCAAGGAGTCTTAGGGCATGATTCTTGAAGCAATTGAAATATAAGGTTACAATATTTACAATGTGAAAAGAATGGAATCAAATGTATGCTTGAGCTAAAATTTGTGATGAGTCAAAGTTGAGAAAAAGATGCTGACTTTTTGTACTTAGAAAAATTCTAAGTTTTTCTCAAAAAATGTCCTATAATGTTTTGCATCCAAACATGGTCTTCCACTCGTAATTTGATTTTTACCAAAAAAGATGGCATGAAGTAAATATTTTAAATGGTATTTTGATATTTGAAACATTTAAAAAATCCAAGAATTGAGAGAGTTGTGACTTTGTGAAGTTGGTGAATATCCATGAAATGACCTATAATCTCTTACATTCTTAGGGTATCCTCCATCCATTTTCAAGATTTTCACATAAAATAAGAGTTGAAGTTAACATACTTAAGATCATTGTAGAAAAAGAATTGGCTCAAGGAGATAGAAATTGAACAATTTATGATCTTTTGAAGTCACATAAGGGAATTTGATGGCTTATTTAGAGGACTTGTAATCTTTCTTCATCATTTGGCATCTTCCACATAAAATCTTCTTGAAAATTTTGAAGTGATTAGTTAATAAATCTTTAAATAGAATAATCACTACAAGAAAATTAGTGTTTAACGACACAAAAATTGCGACAGTTATGTGATAACTGTCGTAATTGACATATAGAGACAGTGTTTACGACAGTTGACACCAACCGTCCCTAATATTTATTTTGCGACAGTATATTTAACCATCATAATATTATTATTACGACGGTAAAACAACCGTCGGCCCCCATTTAACACTTTTAACATTGATTTTTCACCAACAACTAGTCACGACGGTAAAATTAACCGTCCTAAAAGGCATATCACGATGGTAAAGCACCCGTCGCACCCTTAAACCTTTCACGACAGTAAAATTATCCGTCCTAAAATTCATTTCACGACGGTAAAACAACCGTCGCACCCTTAAACCTTTCATTTGAGTTTGAATATATTGAATTGATGTTAGGTTTTCTAATTTGTTGTTTTAGGGTTTTATTTTTTTTAATGATTTTTTAGGATAATATTTGGTTAGGATAAAATATGTATCGTCCCTTATCCATTCTATGATAGTGAATTTTGTCCAAACTAAAGCCATAAATCTTCCAACAACAACCGATAACATCATCATCATCATCAATGACAACCTTTTCAACTGAATTCTTATCACACACTCTCAATTTCAGAAACCACCCAAACCGCACTTCTCGCCGTTCAAATCCCAACACTATCGTCACTTCCTCAACCCCGGGCAACACCAACAACCGAAGAACAAGAATCAGGGTCAATGAAACAAGGCCAAAACTTGATCAAGATTACGATGAAGCTCTCATTAGGTCATTCAAATCAGCTAAGTACAATCGAGCTCTCCGCTTTCTTAAGCGCATGGTTGACAGGGGTTATAAACCTGATGCCATTCTCTGCCATTCTCTTCATCATCTTCCTCTCCATCTTTGATATTTCACTTTTCTTTATAACTGAGCAGAGATTTCTGAGTTTAGTTTCTGTATCATCTATTCTTTTTTAGCCACTATCCATGTTTTAGCCCTTTTCATTAAACTAGCCTTCATTGTTTTCATTTTCCTTGTGCTTTTGGTATATTAACTTGTTCATCTGTTTCTTATTCCTGTTCAGTTTTAATTTGAGTTATCAGGTTGTAGTTTCTTGGGGTGTAAAATTATGGTTTTTAGATGTGATTCAAAATTTGCCATTTAGGGTTGTGGTTTTTTGGTAGGGGTTACAAAAAGTTTCTGAGTATGGCATCTTTGACTGCTGGGGAAATTCCTGCAAACTATTTTGATCCTATTGATCAATAAGATTTGAGCCGTTGAACACCATCTGCACTTTCCATCCACAAATTTTGTCGAGTCTGTATACGAAATGCAAAATCATTAGCATCACCAAAGTATGAGAAGTTTACAAGTTTTAACGTAAAAAAACTTTGGAACAATCTCACATGTAGGAAACTTTAGCAAGTAAATTACCCGTGACATAGAACAGAAAGCTAAGCAGTGTCTGTTGCGGGTTGAGTCACTCCTGACTTCACCAACAGCTTAGTCAAATTCTCTGGGGAGCAAACTTGATACTTAAATTTTCCAGAGGGTGAAAGAAAAACTTCTGCAAGTTCAAGCTTATCCGAGGTAAGACTAGTGGTGTCCATAGTTTTACTCAGTACCTTCAGTGCAAGTTGAACTGCTTCTTCCCTTGTGATATCATCCTTGTAGTCCTGTTTTAGAATTGACTGTGCTGCCTGATTGTTGGCACCAATGGCACAGTGCTAGTCCTGTTTTAGAATTGAATTGTGTGTAACCCTGCTTAGTATCACAGAGAGATTGAACCAACTGCTCAACGGGCATAGGCTCTTGGTACCCAAATGAGTAACGCTGTGCTTCTCCAAGATGTGAGATGTCTATATGGGCCAGTAACTAAATTACTTTTCAGCTTCATTCCAGCAAGGAAAGTGTTTCCAGGATAATCAAAACTTTCCCATAAAAAGTTCAGAGTGTTGTTTGCATCTTTCAGAACAAGATTTCCTGAATCCAAAAGCTGAACAACTGGTTTCACCATAATTCTTGATGAATTTGAGGACCAAACAACGCCTTTGGAGTCATCAAGAATAACAAGATTTCCCTGATCAGTGAGTTTCAGCAATCCTGTTGAGTTTTGTACAGGAGTATCTCTATTGGCAACCCACACAATAGTCATAGGTGATATGGTTTTGTACCATATACCAAAGTATTGACGTTGTGGATCTCCAAAGTTGAAAAATCCTGCTTCAAAGGTTCCAGCTGCAGAAACAAGTGTTTCATGATGTTGGATAAACTGATTTGGAACAAGAGTGTACTGTTTAGAGAAAATAGGTATAATGGAGCACAAGAAGATTATCACTAACACCTCATGTCTGAAGAGGCATTCATAAGTAATTAATGCTCGGAATTCAGTGCAGGGGAAGGTCACCGTGCATATGCTCATATGCTGTTTGATGTCATTGCAGGGATGGATGAAGTTGTTAAGTCAAATGGCTTTAAAGCTTCCAGATGTGTCAAACCTTAAATCGCTCATAGTTCTGTGCAATGAGGACGGTGAAGCAAATTTTTTTGACAATATAGTCGATCCAGTGGTAGGTTTATGTTTAACTGTTAATCTAAGTAATTTCCCTTTTTGTTGTATTATGTGTATTTTTGCGCCTTTCCTTATTGTAGTCAGAAACACTTTCAGACTCATTGTCTTGTTATTTTAGCCATAACTTTTGGTTGAGCTATTAAAATTGATTTCAAAACATCTCACATGTAAATTTGATATTGCAGATCCGTAAGAGAGTGAAGGCATTGTCGCTATTTAGAAATGTAATCAGTACAAACAAATTATCAGAGGTAGTAAGTTTAACTTCACAAGTATAAGCATCATTCCTAGTGACCATTTTTTTTTGGATAAGCATCTAATGACTGGTTTTTAATTATTTATGGTTTATTCCAGTTTATCACTGAAAAAGTGTTCATGCGTCTCTTCTTCAACATGTTGTTTGATGAGAAAGAAGGACAGGTTGACCATATGAAAACTGCATGCATCGAGACCATTGCTTTTGTAGCTGGTCAGATGGGATGGAAGTCATACTATGCACTATTGGACAAATGTTTTCAGGGAACATCCAGGAGTCCAGACAAATAGAAACTCTACATACGCCTCGTCTGTTCTATTTTGGATAAATTTCACTTTTCATAACTTTGTCACACTGAAGAACCTAAGAAAGCTTTGGTTGGTGTTTCTGACAAGGGGATAAGTGACATTGTTTCTTCAGTTAATTTAGGAAACTTTGGTGCATCTGCTGTGAACACAGATATACAGACGTGCCTCTATAAAGTTGTGCTTCCTAAAATACAAAAGCTGATGGATTCTGATTCAGAAAAGGTCAATGTAAATATCAGTCTTGCTGCATTGAAACTACTTAAGTTACTTCCAGGTGATGTGATGGACACATATCTTCCAACTATCATTCATCGAATTTCAAACTTCTTAAAGAGTCGTCTAGAAAGCATTCGTGATGAAGCTAGGTCTGCATTGGCTACTTGTTTAAAAGAGCTTGGATTGGAATACTTGCAATTCATTATTAAGGTTTTGCGATCTACCCTAAAGCGAGGATATGAACTTCATGTCCTAGGATACACACTGAATTTTATTTTGTCCAAGTGTCTCGCAAGTGCAGTTTGTGGAAAGATAGATTACTATTTGGGGGATCTCCTTTCTATCATAGAGAATGACATTTTTGGAGTTGTTGCAGAGCAGAAGGAGGTGGAAAAGATAGCTTCAAAAATGAAAGAAACAAAGAAGAAAAAGTCATTTGAGAGCTTGAAATTGGTGGCCCAAAACGTAACATTCAAAAACAATGCTCTAAAGCTGCTTGCACCAGTGACTACTCATTTGAAAAAACATGTCACGCAAAATGTGAAAGGAAGATTGGAAAATATGTTGCATAGTATAGCTGCTGGTATGCCAGAATATATTTGTTGCAGGAACAGACACAAGCACGTACACACTAGAATGGGCAATGGCAGAGTTAATGCACAATCCAGAAATCATGTCAAAAGTACAAAATGAACTCGAACAAGTTGTTGGCAAAGGTATTCCAGTCGAAGAAACAGACATAGCCAAATTACCATACATGCAAGCAGTTATAAAAGAGACGTTTCGTGTACATCCACCAGTTCCGTTATTACTACCTCGCAAAGCAGAAACAGATGTTGAAATTGGTGACTACATTATTCCAAAAGATGCACAAGTTTTGGTTAATGCTTGGGTTATTGGCAGAGATCCAAGTAAATGGGAGAATCCTAATGCTTTTGTGCCGGAGAGATTTTTCAATAGTGAGATTGATTTTAAAGGACATCATTTTGAGCTTATTCCATTTGGGTCTGGTAGAAGAATTTGTCCTGGTTTGCCTTTGGCTATTAGAATGTTGCCTTTGATGTTGGGATCTTTGGTTAATTGCTTTGATTGGAGACTTGAAGATGGATTGAATGTCGATGATTTGAATAAGGAAGATGAGTATGGGATTACCTTGGAAAAATCTCAACCTGTGAGAATTGTTCCAATCAAATTGACTAAGCAATAATTTAGAATATATGCATGGTTCTTTCATGATGCAGCGGTTTGTAAACTCTTGATGTTGTCTGACCAAACAATACTGTTCTCTGTCAATGGAACTAGGATTTGTGGTCGTGCCAACATTTTACTTACTATAAGAACTAGTTATAAATAATGTGTAATTTGTTTTTGTTTTAATTTGGTGAATGGATATGGTCTTCTTCATAGAGTAAATTTAGGTTCTATTATGTTATTTGAATAAGTCACACTGTTATGGTCCTGGGAGGATCATGGGTTCAGTTTAGGTTATCCTAGTTTATAGGATTTGTTTGTTTCGATTTTCTAGGCACCTTCTATCCGTTTTATTAGGCACTATCTAGTGCATTCAGTTTCTTTTGCAGTTTCCTTTGTAAGGCTATTTATAAGCCATGATTCCTATTAATATATAAGTGAGAGAGAATAATGATTACTTTGGCAGGGTGATGGATAATAATTTAAATAAAAAATATATATAATAGAAAAATAAAAAAAAATCAAGACATAAACAAAAGTCATGGCGACAGTAGCGAACCGTCGTAATTAACAATTAAAAATAATCAACAAAAGTCATGACGGTATCGAACCGTCGCCATAAACAATTTAATCAATTTCAAAAGATATTCACGACAGTATCGAAACGTCGCCATCAATAATTAAAGGAAACTCAAAAGATAGTCACGACGGTATCAACCCGTCGTAAACTTGAACGACAGTTTTTGTAACCGTCGCGAAATAGGTTGGGGACACACACTTCTGCGACGGTAAAGCAACCGTCGTGGAAAGCAAATTGCGACGGTTTTAACCGTCGTAATCTACAAAAATACCTGTCGCAATCTGCCAATTTTCTTGTAGTGAATGTCTTTGGGAACACTCAAAAATACAGAAAATATGAGAAAGATATAGCCCTTAGAAGTTCAAAACCCTAGCTCCTAGAGCACAAAAATGACTTGGAAAACAATTTCAATCTTGACAATCTTCCTTGCACAATAACTCTTTCCATGTGAATAGAAGTTGTTTTAGATGATAATAAGAACCCATAGAAACAAAAAGCACCTCAAAATATTAAGAATTGAGAGCGTTATGCACTTATGATCAAGAAATCATGAACTTGTCTAATTAGTTCAAACTTCTTCAATTAACTCTTGCATCTTTTGATTTTCGTTGACAAATTGAGGCATGATGAATCATAGTAGACCTTTACATGATATCATTTTAAAGTATCTTCAATGATGAAGCTTGAATCTCAAAGAAACTTTGTTGAAGAAGGCATGGAAATAAACTCATGAACCTATAGATCAACCTGATGAAATGTGTTGTGCCCTCACCTATAGTATCATCAATTAGAGAAAACCTAAAGATAAGGAGAAGAACCAAACCCTAGTGTGATCTTGTTATGATTGAGTAGATATGAGATGATAGAGGAATCTTAGGGGCAAAAATTGGGGTACAACAACTGCCCTTATTTAAGTGTCTTTTATCCGGAGATACGAAGGTGGAAATCTTCGTGTCGACGCGATTGAATATGCTTAAGTATAAAACAATCCCTATTTTTGGACCTAAGATGTCATGCAATGCTTATGATTGTGCGTGCAAATAAACAGATCCAAAGGTAACACGGGACACCACTCGGGAAACAGAAAATACAAGATCAAAAGAAAAATAGACATGTAAAATAAATCACTGGTGAACATAAGACTATGATATATTGGGGTAAACCCTAAGGAGGAGACAAAGTAACATCAACTCAAACATTTGAGTAGAGAAAATAAAGGACAACAGTGATTGACAGATAACCGCAAACTATCCATTCACTAAGAAGATAGCAAAAAAGTTAATGTCGACCCACAGGGGGGAAAGAAGTGGTAGGATAAAACCAGTTGTGATACGGTGGGAGAACTGACTTGAGGTTTTTGCGTTTTATCGCAAACGTTGCTGTTTAGCAAGAGTCGCCACCGACTTTTCTTTTATCCAAAAGGAAAGGTGAAAAAGCATAGGAAAAACCTTTAGAGACGTTTCATGAGTTCGGGAGGTAGATTATGAAAACGGAAGGTATTATCACCCTTTCCATCCATGGTTTTCCATGGGCTCTTAGTTACTTGCTAGATCACTTGCTTTTGTTTTAATTTGTGCTTTTTGGTGTGTGTTTTTGAAAGTATTTTGAAAACGTCTTTGTAACGGTTCTCGTCTCTATAAGAATGCGTACAAAGTGTTTGTTTGGAAAATAGTTCAAAGGAGTGTTTGTGAAATGTGTTTTTGAAAGTATTTTGAAAATGTAACTTCGTAATGATTCTCGTTTCTATAAGAATGCATACAAAGTGTTTGTTTCGAAAATAGTTAAAAGATGAAAGTGTACGTGTAAAAAAAAGTTTTGTTGTGAGCAAGCGAGTAACTGAGAGCGAACCTACCTACTCGAAAGGTCTTAGATATGCTTTTCCTCCTCCTTTAGATGTTGCTATCTTACATTTTAATTGATAAGAAGCCCCATTGTTGGATGTAAAGGGACGGGCGTTGGGTCATCGTATGACCATGATAGAAATGTTATGAGATGACTTAGCACTTTTCTTTAGGGACTAAGATCATTTTGAAAGGCAACTTTGATAGCGTCATCGAGGGACTATGATCTTATATTTGTTTGTGTTAAGACATCTCACGTGCATAGCATGGCCATTTTTGTAAGGTAACAAGTGAGATCACCCTAAGGGTGCATGTGTGCAAGTGTGTTTGATTGCATGCATTTGTCTTTGATTTTTAGTGGTCTACTTGTTGGTTTTATCTTGCCATACACACCTAATTACTATAAAGTATATGAAAGCAATAAAAGTGAAGAAATGTAAAGTCTTACACTATTATAATATTTAGGGGAGGGGGTGTACAAGTTTACGAATGGGGATTGCAAGTAAAATAAGTCTTAAGTTACTCTTACAACCATATTGAATATGTACAATATAAGAAAGAAATGGACATGTTTAGAAAATGTTTTTGTCTTAAGGAAATAAGTTAAAAGGAAAAAAATTATGTCTTTTTATGTTAATATAAAAAATCATGAAAAGGAAAATAAATGCAAGGTAGAAACAGCGTGTTGCTGCAAACAAAGAAACAAGGATCAGAAGTTCTGAAGCCAGGCGCATGACTCAGCAGGAAACGTCAGTGGGATCAGAAGTTCTTGATTCGTACCCTGAGTTCGTGCAAAAATGTCAGAGGGAAAACACAGAGGTTCTGGGTGATGTTTAACCAGTGAACCAAAAGTCAAAAGTTCTGTATTACGCTGAAACAGTGAGAAAACATCAGCAGTTCAATGTATTTGACATGTAAGGAGAACTCAGAAGTTTTGTGTTGTGTTAGAACAATGAGTGAGTCATCAGAAGTTCAGTGTTGTGTTGAGCCAGTGAATGAACCTTAGCAGTTTAGTGCACTATCAGTATGTGAGAATCAGAAGTTCAGTGTGTGTTAATAGTGAGAAAAAATTATAAAAGTTCTGTGTGTTATCACCATGTGAAAATCAGAAGTTCTATATTACATTTCAACTCTTTTCTCATATTAATCAGCACGTCAACAACTCATTCATTTTTGGCAAACAGCAAATTAGAAGAATAACAGCACAACAGTTCATAGAAGTTTTAATCCTAAGTCTGAGTCTAGCATTATTCTAGAAGTTCTGATCCATAGTTTTTCAGTTCATGCAGTTATATGTACAACATTAATACTATGATATTTACATGCTAATGATGTTCAGAATGAAAAACAAGTAATCTCAGAAAGACCTACCTGGAGCGTGCTTGGAGTTTTGAGTGGCTGCCTTTGGATGTTTCTGGAATCAGCGAGAGTAATGGAAGAGGAAACGTCAAGCTCTTTGATTCAAAAGGAAGAACAAAGGTAAGTTTCTATGTATGAGAAATCTGGATTTTTATGAAGGTTTTACATCCTTGTTTTCTCTCCTTTTTACTAACCTCTCTCCAAAAGCCATCACCTTGAACGTGTGATGGAGCCAAGTATTTATAAATGAATTTGCTGTGATTTTGGGGAAAAAGCAAGTGGGATTTGAACCTGTTTTGGCATCCTTTTCCTTTGCTTTTTCATCATAGTTTTCGTATTCTAGTTTGGTGTAATCATGGGATGCAGGCGTAGGCTGTGCCAGCTGTTGGTCATAGGTCTGCAGCAAGTTATATAAGCAGGTTTTTGGGATTTGGTCAAGTTTTGACCAAAGCTTTGAAAATAGCCTTCATGTGCTGAAGCGTTGCCTTGTCTTTGAAGCAAGCATGATGGCTGTCAGCAGGAATTAAGGAAAAGCGAAAAGCAAAGCATGGGCTTAATAGCAAAGTTGCTATCCCAAGGCAATAGAGGTGCACGTGGTGAAGATCCTTTGGATAAAGGCTCAGAAGGTGGTTGTGAGCATTAAATGGGAATTAAATGATGATGAGACTTATCACAACCAGAAATCATGCAACGTGAAACCCTACATCAATGCTTTGTTCTAGATCAGAAGTTCTGCTTCAGCGTAGCATCCAATCTTTTGATCCTCTTATCTTCTAGCTCCAGCATGTTCTGAAGGAGCTTTCAGACTTTCTAGAAAGCTTGCAGCACGCTCCTTAACCTTCTTTACATTATCCTAACAAACTCTGACTGAACTTGCGTAGATGCTGAAGAGACATGTTCTGACTGAAGATTATGTGTTGAACCATGTATACAACTTCTGACCGCACCTTCCTGGAGGCTGGTTCAGAAGTTTTGAAGTGTCATTTTTCTTAAATACTTTTTTAGAAAAATTCTAAATATTTAGAATTTGACTTTTCCAAGGTAAAATTTGACTTTTGAACTTCTTGATGAAACAAACTTCATATTCCAACATGTCTTGATGAAATATGATTTTTGAGATTTGATTTGATCCCAAAGTCAAAGTTTGACTTCTTAGCGCGTAAATGACCATTTTGCCCTTGTGAATGATTTCCTTGAAAAATTGCAGTTCAAGGCTTGGAATTGGATGGAAGCTAA